TTTCCCTGGGGAGGAATGTTGACCCCACCACCTAGATTTGATTCCAGATCTGCATGATTCATATTCCCATTCATCTTATAAACAGTGGCGTAACAGGCGGGCAGGGCAGACTGTTCCCCCTCCCCCCACTGACGGTTTTTACCGGGCTGACCAAGCCTTCGTACCGGGCTGGGTAAGAAGAGAAAAGAAAGAGGGGAGAGGGAGGGAAAGAGAAAGAAGGGGAAAGAAAAAGAAAGGAAAAAGGAAAAGAAAAAAAGAGAAAAATAAGGACAAGAATAAAAAGGAAGATATAATGAACAGCTATCACAATACCCCGTCCTGCAACCCCTTCTCCACTTCAAAATCTGTCCATATCGCATTTGATCTAAGCCGCCAGGTATTCTCCGCAGTGGCGTACGTAACCACCGGGGGTCAAGGGGAAAATATACATCTGTGGAAAATCTTTCCCCATTGAATGCCCTTGTTTGTAATAAAGCCATAAGGAAAATGCTTATATTCAGTTTAAAAAAACGAGTGTGGCCATATATAACATAAGAACATTTCTTGTTGATGTAGGCCAATTTCCTCTAAAAATTGCACATTTAGGGAGTTTTGATCAATTCCGACGAAATTAGAATTAAAACACAAAAATTTTTCGCGCGCTTCGCGCGCATTTGTTAGGGTTAAAGCTTGTGCTTGCCCTCCTTTGCCTTCTAAGTTATTTAAAAACATAATAGTCCAAAAACATGAGAAAGAAAAATTAAGATAGATCGTTTTACCTAAAAGAAGGGCCTCAATGTGTAATGCTGGTGAAAGAGTAGGCCTATGGTTGTAATAAATAAAACCACGATTTAAATGCTTATATTTAGTTTCAAACACACGTGTGTGTCCTATATTAACAATAAAATAAGCCCTATGTCGTATTGTTTTCTATATGGGGTGGGGGTTATCACACCAAGTTATAAATTACTAAACGGGAAAATTATTACCTTTGCCGTCCCACTCCCCTGACCCAAGACCCCTGTTACGCGCCTGCTTATAAGTGCCCCACCCCCACTTTGAAAAACGTTCCGCCGGCCCTGTCTATTAATCTCATTCACTACGACAGATATGAATGCAATGGGAAGAATATTTTCATGAGTTTGAAGATGGTCAAGGAGGCAGAGCCAAGTTGAATGGAACAGTCATTCCAACAACGAATACAAATAGGCCTATTCCATTACACAAATATAAAATATTCATTAATTGTTTTTTATAACGCATCTAAAATAGATCTTTGTAATTTGGTATTTGATGAAATAATATAATTTTTTGGAAAAGGCGTATTTCCAAACACATTGAACGTAAACGTTTGAAATAGACGTTGGTTACCACCGTTGGGCTGACGTTGGCCTGAGGTTGTAAATAATAAATGTGATTACAGACGTTGCCTCAACGTCACAGAACGCTGTTGGCCCGACGTCTGTAAACGTTTGGAAAGGAGGTTGGTTACAACCGTTGGTCCGACGTTGGTTAGAGGTTGTAAATATTAGGATGTGATTATAGACGTTTTCCCAACGTCACGGTACTTTGTTGGCCCGACGTCAGTAAACGTTACTGGAGGTTGGTGACAACAGTTGGGCCGACATTGGTTAGAGGTTGTAAATATTAGATGTGATTATAGACGTGGTCGCAACGTACAGTACGCTCTTGGCCCGACGTCGGTAAACGTTTGAAATGGAGGTTGGTTACAACTGTTGGTCCGACGTTGGTAAGAGGTTGTAATAAATATTAGGATGTGATTATAGACGTTGTCAAGGTGCTTTGTTGGCCCGACGTCGGTAAACGTTAGTGGAGGTTGGTGACAACAGTTGGGCCGACATTGGTTAGAGGTTGTAAATTTCAAACGTTTACCGACGTCGGGTCAAAAAGAATCGAACACACAACCACCAGGTTTGCTATTCATTATCCACCATCAACTAAACTGCCTTAAAGGGAAAAAAATGGTTTGTGTGGGAATCAAACACACAACCACCAGGTTTTGCTATTCATTATCCACCATCTACTAAACTGCCTTAAAAAAAATGGTTTCTGTGAGAATCGAACACACAACCTCCACGTTTGCTATTAATTATCCACCATCAACTGCCTTAAAAAAAAAAAAAAAATGGTTCGTGTGGGAATTGAACACACAACCACTAGGTTTCGTCATTCTACATAGGCCTATTTTGAATATTGATATTAACGGGTAACACAATCTGCGTCTTCTAAAGCATTTGAAACTACCGTAACAGTTTTTTTTTTTGCCCTCGACTTTACGGAAGGTAGACAGACTAAAAATGCAGGGTCAGGTTATTTAACGTAGTGGTAACTACTCTCATCAGCTCGCCATTGACATAGATCGGGGTTTTTTTTTTTTTTGTTTTTTTTTTATGTAGGATTATTTATTACTTAATACTGTTTCAATTACGTTGTAGGAGCGTGTGGTGGAGCGTGTAAGGTGTTGGACTTCTGATGGTAAGATCAGGAGTTCGAGACCGACGCATTCATCCAGAAGCATAAATGGGAGGGGGTCATGATGTTAACCTTCCAGTCAAAATGTTAGGGAGATTTGTGCGACGACGCGACGCTAGAATGGAATCACTCATGCGTGACCGTCCTACCTGGCGTCCTACATTTCTCTGCATGCGTAGATTTGGCCAAATTGCGTTCCAGAATCTGCTCGACGAGGTGACCTTTACGTTCTACGTTCTACCGTCGTCGTGCAATAGAAAGCTCCTTAATGGCAGCAACTAGATATCAGTTCATATCACGCGAACGAATGAACTGTTTTATTTATTAATTTTTATTTTCCTATTTTTTTATTTTTATTTTTGTAAATACAACATCAGTTATCATTATGGCAATGAGGAAAAGCCCTATGTATAATGTTCTGTTTTACAGACATTTTAAGTCTATAGTTGTACTTACCAAGCCAAACAAATGGCCTCCCTTGCTTTTGTAGTTCTTCATTTTGTCCTAAGCATTGCTTATCTAGAGATAATAAATCATAATAGATGACGTTATGTTGACAAGTAGCCCTATTTTTCAACCTCATAACTATTTAAATATACCATCATTTCGATATAAAAAGGTCACATGATCTGTCGCCTATGACGTTTAAAAGGGCGGTTTTCGTCAACAGACGGAATAATTTCAAGTGAATGCCAAGTAAAACAAGCATCAAGGAAGCTCTACTTCATCATTCGACATTAGTACTGCAATGTAGCTCTGAGCGAAAAATTACCATAATCATTTGTCATCTCAAGGTAAAAAATGACTATTGCATACCTCTAGAACCCATTTGTAAATGAAACGGAGGAAGGATGGTATATCTCAAACAAAATCGCTGGTCGGGAGGATTTGGTCGGGAGCGGGAAAATCAGTGGACCCTATTTAGGCCTACTTTTGACAAGCACAATGCAATAAAAACTATGATAATTAGTCAAAAACCGAATACACGGGAAGAAGACAATGTTTTAGATAAGTCATTAAAATATGGAATGCCCAAATAATTAAGTAGAATAGTTGGTATAAAGGTATAGATCAGGAGCCTCAAGAGAAATGGTTATAATATAAAATTAACTACATTTTGGACTCTAACGTAATTTTTGAACAGTGGTATATAAACAGTTCAAACAAATTAGAAGAAAGTGTAGTCAACTGATAGTATATCAGGAAGAGCTTATGAGTAATATAGGCCTATTTATTTTTTCTAAGCACACATGAATTGATTTTCCTTGGATCGAATAAAAATATTTCTTGTCGGAAATTTACAAAAATATAAGAGAACTCGCTCTGAACATGGGGGAATACCATTTTTTCCCATAAATAAACACAGAAGTAGGCATACTATCAAAACCTCCCATGAAATAATCATTGCTGTTGCTTTAGTCTAGATTGTCCTTGTACCGTATGTTTTCCTTTTCAATAAAGTATTATTCTTACTTTCCCATTTAAAACAAAATCTAGTTTTAGGAATTTTAAGTTTTTTTTTAATTCTCTTTTGTTAAACCACCATGGAGTCATTAGTAACTATAATAACTCCATTGTTAACTACATCGCAGTTTTTATAGCCACTGTGATAAAAGGTGTCTCCTTACGAAATTTAACGTCTTATGGTTAAAATACGAATATTATAAGAAAAGTGGTACGTACGCGTTCTACCATCTTCAAGATTTCATTAATGCAACATAGTATTTTACATTTTAAGTACACTTTTCAGTCAATTGCTAAAAAATATAATACTTACTGGCAAATGTAAAGCCAGACCCATATAGGAATAACAGAAATAGTATATGGCAACCCATCGTGTAGTCGTCTTGACAATGTATTCTTTCGTTTCAGACCCAGCTAAATATATATATAGATATTGTGCCATTTCCCCAGTATAATATGAATTATGCTGGTACAAAACGGTTGGTCTACGTTTTAAAACATAGATTTGGAAGGATATTCAGAGCTAAAACGTAAAACAAGACGATTTTAGACTTTTGTTTCGACCGGATGGGTGGCAATATACTGAATATTTCTAATGACATTTTACGGGAGGGGAGGGTGGGCAAGCATGATGCGATAAAGCGGTCTTCGTTATGGATGGTGTCTGGTAGGCGTGGTATAATTATGGTTTGATCTACACATCTAGATGTGTATAAGAGACAGGTATATGGCAACCCATCTTTGTTTCTTGCTTTATTCAAAATGTTTTGGTTTTGGAAGCTGATGTCAACATTAGAAAGCATAGCCTACATGAAGTCATATTATAGTAACTCGATGCCTATCAAATAAGTAATAAAAATTCGTCATAATTCTTCAAATAACCCTGGACCCCCACCGGGGTTCCTAGGCGGCCCCCTGGCCCCCAGCCAAGTGAGACTCGATTCGCTCCACTAGCCCCCCCCCCCGTCGGGGCCTTTAGCCCCTCCGTCGGGCAGGTCCTGGCACCACCCCTGCTATGATGTCATCACCTCTCGTAGACGACAACCTCTCTTGTGAGACCATTATGTCAAAAACCCATATATTTAATCACTGCATTTGATCTCTCGTAGCCCCACTTGTCTCGTAAGCGACCTCGACAACCTTCAATGGATTTCTGGTATTTTACCTCTGGTAAGTAATATCCTGGAAGGCAAGAAATATTATTTTCAACAAACACAATTTTACATGAATGTGATCACAGTAAAAGCCTAGTAAAGTCGTAATTATTATGTTGGTGTATTGTTTATTTTTACCTCAGACTCGACATTTGGGCCTTATATGTTTTCTTGTAAGCGGTCACCTCTCCTTAAAATTATTATCCCCGGATCCGGGAAGTTGGAATGTATGCATCTTAGGGGTATGACTTACACAAGCTCAGATGATTGCATAGGCCTGATCACCCTAATAAAAAAAAAATTTAAAAAAAACAAAAAAAAACTATGCTCCAAGTGGTAGGCCCGTTACTCCTAATATGCAGCCCGAATGTAGACTCGTTGAGCAGGGGGGTCTTTAAAATTTTCCGAGGGGCCCAAATACTGGAAGAGTCACAACCTCTCAGTCCCACCACGGTTGGGGTTGAACTTTAAAATAACACTCCATGTTTTTCAAAGTGTCTCTGTTTGAGAGTACTCGTTCGAAGTTCAATTTTATATACATAAAATATTTTTTTTTGTCAGGACAATAGGAGAGAATGTCAAATACCAGAAAAGTCTACACTCACCTTTGATTTCCTGTTTTTTTCTTAACCTTACCTTACATCTCTTGAACTTTCAGGAATAATTGTTTATAACATGTTTTATTGTAAATTTATTCCTGATGATGCTTAAATAAAAGCGAAACGTTGAATAAAATGGCGTTGTCAATTTTTGGAGAGACATTCATACTATAAGTTCCATATACATCGTTATTATAATTATTGCGTATATTAAATCTATTAGACAGGCTTGATGATTTTCACCGCGTGTTTTACGGCGATGTTCTTTGGGAATGTCTTTTTACCTTCTGCAAAATATGGTCATCACAACGGCGATAAGGTCTGAATCCTCCCTGACGTACTTCTGAGAGGATGTTGTTTTCTTCTAAGAAATCAGAGATTGTATATAATGGTACGATTCCATTGAAAATTTTCGAAACACAGGATGGTAAAGATCTAAAGTTATTTAAATCTCTCCCATCCCTTTTTATAAATTGCAACATTACTTCTATTCCACTCAGCTGGTATTTTTCCAAGACTAAGAATTCTTTAAAATAATGAAAATATTAAATAATTAAGATGCTCACCATTTTTTAAAAGTTCGTTGGAAATATTATCCAAACCAGGATATTTGTTATTTTTGGTTTCAATTGGAGGATCGATAGCAGATTCAACCAGATTTAGTGTAGGCCTAAGTTCAATACCAAAAATAATTTAGTGTTATCATCGGGAATGTATCTAAAATTGTAATTTTCTTTAAATTTATTAACAAAATTTACAGTTTCGATAGAATGGCTATCGTGGTCATCAATCATGTTTCTGTTCATTTTTCATTAGAAGAGTCTTCATTATCTCTCTAATCGCAAGTTATCTCATTTGTGCCCGGCACTTTTAATTACTGAACTTGCTCATTTTGTGATACCTTTAATTCACTCCACAATTTAATGATTTAAGTTTACGTCGTCCCGAAAATTCAGAGAAGACGCTCACTATTTTAGTTTAGTATCGGATCTCCGTACGGGATTCCCCCCACCAATTCTGTGTTCATACCGGACATTATTAAAATTTGAGGAATAACTTAATAATGTCTTGAATTTTAGAACGTAACCTGTTAACATTGCTGAATGCAATATTTAGTGAGTAATTATTATGACAATTATTTCTTTTGCCAGTTTACCAACCTTCCCCTTCCGTCTATTCCCATGACCTTGTCTATGTCGCTGGTTTACTTCTTTGTCAAGATTACTTACCGCTGGCTCTTTTGTGTTGTATTATAGGCCTCTGATATGATTGTATTATGAATAACATAGTCTCTCATTTCATCTCGTAACAAAGTGAAGACACTGCTGCGCTCACAATGCTGTTGCCGCTGTTAGTGTGGACCCTAGTGTCATTTCGCGAGATAGGCTTGCCCAAAGCAATTTTATTGCATTTTCTGGGTATTTTGGGTATGCTGAATCCAAAAATGCAAGGGTCCATTTTTTTCGAGATTGTCTTGGCGGCCATTTTGGAATTTCAAAATGGCCGTCATTTTCACATAAAAAAATAACAATAACTGTGCCATTAGAGCAAATATCAACATCATTTTGGCAGCAAACCCTATATTTTCAATGTCAACCTCTCCAATGGTGATATTCTCACTGATCATAAATGGCGGCCATCTTGAATTTCAAAATGGCTTCCGTTTTTACAGTAAAAATAACAATAGTTGTGCTATTAGAGAAGGTATCATCTGATTTTGGCAGCAAACCCTATATTTTCAATGTCAGCCTGTCCAATGGTGAGATTCTTACGAATCATACATGGCAGCCATATTGAATTTCAAAATGGCTGCCATTTTCACAGTAATAATTACCATAATTGTGCTATTAAAGCAGGTATCGACATGATTTTGATAGCAAAACTTATGTTTTCAATGTCAACCTGTTCAAATGATATTCTTACAGTAATGGTGGCCATCTTGAAATACAAAATGGCCGACAAGTTTCAAGCAAAAACTTATACATGCCAGCAATCCCTCTTTGGCCGGGAGACTCCTGTTTTGGTATTCTGACCACAGGCCAATTTTTCTCACGTTTTTTCGTGCTCTTCCAGTGTACAACAAATTGCATTATACGTTAATTGTAGTCTTTTTGTAATAACACACTACGGAAAACGGACCAGCCCTTATGTTGAATAATTGGACATGAAGTTGCAGTTGCTAAAATACCAGTCCAGTAATTATAGAAAACGCACTTTTAGACAAGTATTGAATCCAGATTTTGTATCTTGTACTGAAAAGGGCTAGAAAATGAGAAGTTAATCCATATAGACATAGCCTGTAGGCACATTTTGTCTTGTGTAGATACAAGATAAAATGTGGTTCAATTAAACACACAAGTTATTTAAAATCAATACCGTACTTTTATTATTGGAATACATATCATAAGAATCATGAAATTTGCCCTTATAATACATTAATAGCTGAAGCCTCCAAGGGGAGGGGTTACTCGTGTAATGGGAACACCTCTCCCCACCTCATGACCAAATTCCCCCGTTTTTTACTATCAAAATGTTAGCATGTATGAAAACTGCATTATTTAAAAAAAAAGTAAATACCTGTATGTCGATTGAAAAAGATTTTATTACGAACTTAATAACACATTAACCAGTCCAATGGTGATATTCACATGAAGAACGGATGCCAACTCAAAATGACTGACATTTTTTCAGATGCATGTCAAATGTTTTTACAATATCAGCCACTCCGGTATTAATCTAGAAATTGCATAAGAGTTCCTTAATCAGCAGATCAACATATCTTGTTAGAACAATCAAACTTGTGTCATGCTATTCTTCTCTGCCATCTACACATTTGAAACTTGAAATTATTTCA